CACTAAAGACCCCCTAACCAGCAACATCTGCGCCTACAGGCCTGGGAAAAACATTTTGGGGCCGATTTTATCCTTAAAAATTTACCTCCAATAATGCTACAGTTACACACTACCGTACATCTTAACTGAAGATTTTAAGAAAGCCTTCAACAGCGTCAACAATGTTCTCTGGACCACCTTGTGAGAAGGTGCACCATAATATAATGAAAATCTTAAATATCATTACAATAACTCCTTCGCCTGGCTTCATCTAGGAAAGTTACAATTACCCTTCTTCAGGATCAAAAGAGAAGTTAAGCAGGGTTGTTTGCTCTCCCCCATTCTCTTCATAATCGTCTTTAAAATCATAAAAGATACCATATGAACCATGAGTATCTCGATTTATCATCACATGTCAATAGCAAATCTCACCTGAGAATCTTTTCATACGCAGATAACCCGGTCTTGATCATCATATGTAAGGGTGAAACAATCGATTTACTCACAAATTTAGGTTCCTGCTGTAAACGTGCTGGTTTAGACATAAATTTCAACAAACTCGTGATCATGCCAGCCCTCAAACAAATACATAACCTTACCCTTGACTCAAACATGCTAAAGACGGTAACCAGTTTTAAATACCTAGGAATTTTGATAGACAACAAAGGCAATACAAAAAATGGAGAAATTTAGTAAACGCCAAAATCATATTCAACAAATACCATAATACCCAGGTGCATAAATTAAAAAAACCCCTCCAATAATCCCTGAGGCGCCACTTTTAAGCCTCACACACTTGGTATGCACCTTATTTACTTCACACTTCTATAAATCATATTACCAAGTTAGCATAAAATTAAGATAGCTAACTACCTCCTCCATAAATCAAAACTTAGTACGGGCTTGTTTCTACCTTCTTATTCTCCAGTAGGCGTTTAATTAAGGGATCTGCTCTTTGCTCGCATAGGTAACTGTAGCCTGCCCAGAAACTTTGGATGGGCTTCTCTCTTATCTTAATTCAATTAGATGGGATTTGAGAGAGTCCAAGCGCAGCTCTGCTATTTCATTTAGCGAAAAGGGTGATTCGCTTACAAACGTATTATTAATGAATAATATAAGAGGGGGTATTCTTGCTAAATATATTAAAGGAACTAAGAGGGATAAGGAAGTGTTAAAAACACTTGTAATTTTCTTTTAGGATTTCAATTTGAGCTTTTTGTTTGAGGGAAGGGGACTCGTTTTTTCCCATTCCTGAAATTTTCTGTAAAGAAAAAGTTATATAATTAATTAATTTAATTATCATGTATTATATGAAAATTAATCAAACAATTATATACCATTTTTTAAGATAATAAATGTAAATAAATTATTATAAATAAAAATAACTATAAGTTTAAAAAAATAATACAAAAACACCGTGTTTTATATTTATTCCATATCCTTTTGGTTTTTAAAAAATTCCGAAAAAAATGAGGATTTTTTTTTATTATGTATCAGAGATCTTCATGGGCCGAGCTTGCCAGCGGCCAGCAGGCCTCTACCCGGCTCATGGGCTAAATTTTTTAGCGGGCCTGGATTTTTAAATTTTTTTTTTAATGGGCTGGGCTTGGGCCTAAAATTATTAAATTTAGATTATTTAAAACAGTTGCTAATTTAAAGAAATATTGCCTTTTTTTTCTTCTAATAATAATAAATTTCAGTAGTGCAAACAAAATGATTGCCTAAATATATTTAAATATTGTTTATTTTCATTAAATAAATAAAAATTCAATTTTTGGATATGGGCTTGGGCCGGGGGGAAATTTTTTGGAAACTTATCATGGGCTTGGGCCGGGTTTGGGAAATTTTTTTGAAACTTATCATGGGCTTGGGCCGGGTTTGGGAATTTTTTTTAACATTAGATATGGGCCGGGCTTGGGCCTAAAAAAATTTTACTGCGGGCCTGGGCCGGGCTTGGTCAAAAAATTAAGGCCCATGAAGGTTTCTGTTGTGTATTATATTATCTAGCAAAAGAATTACCACATTTATATTTTCTTATAAGATCCAATATTAACTTTATTTCATGAATAATTTTTTATCTATCATTTTGAGATATTATCCTACTGTAGCCAATTTCAAAAATATCATCCGATATCCGAAATTTTATTAATAAATGGGTCATTCCTTAAAATTTAATAAAGTATTGTAATTGACGAATCCAAAATATTAGATTCTTAACTATCAGAACCGAAGATATAGGGCTTCAAAGTGACTCAGCTTGGTCATTTTTCGAAAAAAATGATTTTTTAAAATTGTGATAACTTTTATATTAAATGTACTATGTATATCTATTATGGCTCATTTTATAGCCCTAAGTAAACTCTTGAACGTATGTTAAATAAAGTTAATTTTTAGTTTATATATTTTTTTAAATTGCATTTAAAAATTTGTAATTAATTTTTCAAAATGTTTGACTAAATTTTTTTTCCAAATTTCAGATATTTTGTAAAGAGTACCAAGAACTGTTCATATAAAAAATTTCAGAGTGGGGCCAAAAAATTTAATTATAAAAAATCTTATTTTAAAAAAATCCGCTAGATAGCGTAAGTAGTTTAAAATATCAATTTTAACAATATAAGTCAATCTAAGAAATTTTTTTATTCCGTAATAAAATATTTATCGAATAATTAATAGTAGGCATAATATTTAAAATAATTTTAATTAAGTTTCTTTAAATTTAACTTATATATTGCCATTTTAGATTCATCATTAGTTAAAGTGTAAGTTCTTCCTGCGGATATGGCCACATAACTTATATGATTTGTTTACTTTATAATATATACCAAATGGATGTAGGGTAACCTGGGAAGTGGCCCAGTGATCTTCTTCTTGAAGTATAAAAGAGTAATTTTCAGAAAAATCACAGATAATCAAATAATGATCTTGCTCTAAATTGTTTTTAAGATTCTGTTAGAATCTATTTTTCTGTTCAGTAATAAAAGCATGGCGAATCAAAATAAATATTTTTTCAAATAAGTAATTAAGAAATTCGTCAGCTGTTTGCGTTAGGGTCTCTAGACTGTTCTATCTACAGATATCCATTGCTTGAACGTTATCCTGTATATATCATGTGCAATTAATAAATTTTTCAAATTTTCCCCTTAATACTTGGTCCCTAGGATTTTCATGACATTCGCCAAAATAACAGGCTGGCAGGGGAGGATTGCTGGAATTATGTCTTTGTAAGTCTTTATCTCAAAATCCCTATTTTTTGTTAAAGTTGCTAAATTGCTATTAACATTCTGATGGATTAGGCAGACACAAACCGAGTGAATGCCACTTGAACCTGTCATTATGCAATTTTTAGGGCGTATTGAAGCAAATTTAAGAAATCCGATTTTAAGAGAAGAGTAGAGAGCTTTAAAATTTATATAGATTTCTTTAAAATTATTAAGAATTAACCGTTTTTGAACATTAATCCTTTCATCATTTTCAATTATGGACAGGCAATCTTTTTTCCGGGCAGTAATCTACTATATTCATCGTTTAAATAGAAACTTTTTACAATGTCAACTTTGCTCTGATCTATGGTTTTACCTACCTTGGGATTATAAGTTTAAAGAATCCCCTTTTGACCAAGAATGAATTTTGAATTACGGATCATATAAAACGAAGCGTTAAATTGTTTTTTAATTTTGTGAATGCTCCAATTTGGAGATAATGTCGTTAATAATTGATATTTTTGTGTTTTAGACAATAATGGATAATTATTTTTCATATGAATTATCAAATCGTCGCTACCATTTCATCTTTGGTTGAAGAATTTTGCCAATAGCTTTTGAAAGTCTGCTGAGCTTTTTCTTGAGATATACTTTTTCTCTTAGTCTCTATTTTTATTGGACCCATTTTAAAGTAGAATTTAAGGATTCTAAAAAAAGTGTAGGGAGTTGCGCATTCTCGTTATTAATTGGATAATCATTTTCTATATCGGTAGAGTTTAAGAAATTATTTGAAGTTGTAGGGATGTTGCTATCCTCTAAAATTGGAATACTATTCTTTTTATATAAAAATTTGCGACACTTAGGACAAATATATTCTCCTTTGTTAATTTTATGATACATTGTCATCCAAATCGTCACTTTTCTTAAATCTTTTTTGGAATAGTGATTTGAAAGAGTTAATGGATTTGTACAAAACATATTAATAAAATATCAATAAATTAATTAATTTTAAAAATTACAAATTTTAGGGAAAAGTAACAGATAAAAAAAATCGATAAATTATTGGGAAAAAATTATTCGATAATTTAATTAATGCCTAATCTATAAATTAAATTTAAGGAAATTTAATAAAATTATTTTAAATGTTATGATTATTAATTATTCGATAAATATTTTATTATAGAATAAAAAAAGTTTCTTAGATTGACTTATATTGTTAAAATTGATATTTTAAACTCTTACGCCATATAGCGTTTTGAAAATGAGATTTTTCCTAATAGATATTTTTGGCACCACTCTGAAATTTTTTATATGAACAATTTTGGTATTCTTTGCAAAATATCTGAAATTTGGGAAAATAATTTAGTCTAACTAAAAAATTAATTACAAATTTTTAACCGCAATTTTAAAAATATATAAACTAAAAATTAATTTTATTTACATATGTTCAAGAGTTTACTTAGGGCTATAAAATGAGCCATAATAGATATACTCCTTAAATATCAGCCAATCTTAAATTTCCTCTATTTTATATTATTTATTAAATAAATTGGATTAAAGTACAATGTCTTTGGTTTTGTACGTTAAAACTTAAGTTTAAAAACGAATGCATCATCTAAATAGAGTTATTAAGTCGATTATTTTCAATTTAAAGTTTATATGTTTTTTTTGCTACTCTAAAAAATAAGAAGAAAAAACGTTTTGCGGATCAAGGATGTATATTATTTTATTTGTTTAAAACTAATATTTCGGCACGAAATGGATTATGATAATAAGTTTACATATTAATTTGATGAAACAAAATTTGCATGTTTAAATAAGACAGGGGATATCTTACTAGCCTTCGCCAAGGCTTTTCGTAAACCGGAAGATTCAAACCGTTACTTATTTCCAATAGAACCGGACAATAATGACTCATCTTCTCCATCTTTTATTGAACCAATAATCACGAGGGCTATTAGCGTTTCGTTAGAAATAAAAGTAAATTTCAATTTTTTGTGTCAGGAATATTTATATGATATTATTTATAGTTTTAAAATATTATATTAATATTATTTATATATTTTCCCCTAAGAGCGCTATGATTATATATAGTTTTTTAAATTGTAGATAGGAAAAAAAGGAATAAAAAATAGAAATTTGATCATTGACAGTAAGTTTAAATATGAATTAAATTATTTTTTTTTAAATAAATTATTATATATAAAATATCTCAACAAATAAAAAATTCTTATCGAATTGAAAAGCTTATATAATCTTATACCCACTTATAATATATCTCGGATCATAAATATAAAACATTAAAAGCGGGTAACCCTGAAATGTTTTAATATTTATGCTATATGAAATTAATAAACAATTAATCATATACAAGGAAGAGGTAAACAAAGACCATTTTTCCATCTGCCCCTTAGACAACGATATTTTTAAACTGCGGCAAAGTTTGGAAAAGCGTTTTAATCTAACCGTTCGTTCCTTCCCTCCGGATCTGGTGGAATCTTTCGACAGCTACAGTAGTGGCAATCACAACATTAATAATATCAGCACGGCAGTCCTTTCCCAGCGTAACTCAACTCAACTCGCAGCTATTCCGAATTCACTTTTCCCTGGCCTCGTTGTGGAGAGATGCTTTGGCATACATATAACTCCCGGCTCCGATTTTAATCAGAACAAATTGCATTTATTGGATATTGTAATTTTAATTTATATTATGATTTGATTAAGTTTTTGTTCATTCTGTTAGTGCCGGTCAGGTCTCTCAGACTTGAAGCAAAGTTTTTTTTTTTAAAGCACTAGCATTAGGTTTTAAAGGTGGATAAGTGGCACACATATAAATTGTACTATAACTACAACATTATTCTATTTAATTTATTATATGAATATTTGCCCAAAGGTATCCATGAACCACGCTCACGATAACCAATACATTTATAATATTAGCGTGCTATGGGACCCCAAAGAATACAAAGCCCAGGACTTTATCCAATATAATTCTAATAAAGGTCGCTTATAAGATTCACTTATTTTCTTTACAACTTTTTCATAATCATACTAAAACTAAAAAAAAATATACTAAATTGTTTACTTCAATATATGTGTGCTGAAAAGAATCACTTATTTGTTTTTAGGCCTACTAAGAAAATACTTTTTGCTCAAACGGAAAATATTTTAAGCATCCGTAGATTAGATTTAAACTTGATGACCACTCCTTTGCCTTTCTATTTTATCTACGACAATGATCCAATCGCGGACAATTTAGCCTTATAGAGAGCCTTTATAACTCTAATTGAACTCGATAATTTAAGTATTAACTTGAATTTATCAATTCTAATTAATTTATAACTACGTAAAGACGGTCATTTTTTAATTTTTTAAACTTATATTATAAGGAGTTTCTTTAATTTTTATTTATTCTCGAAAGATCAAGCAAACCTAACATTTATTCTCGGGTTAGACCTGATATTTTCTGGCATTCAAGAACCCATTCGTCTACTTTTGAATGTGAGGGGAAAATTGTATCCTGACTCGGAAAAATTTTGGTACTACTTAACCAAACAGCGACACTTGCGGGAAACCTATTATGTAGAATTAAAACGGGTAAAATTATACTGATATTTTTTTTTATCATATAGAAAATAAATGAATACATTGTAAATATTTTTTAAAATTAGGACGAAGAAAAATTAAACAGCGAATTGCACGTGTGCACCGTCAAAAGCCACTCTCAAATAACGCGCAATTATGCAAATGATCCCGTCAACATTTCACAAAATATTTCTGCCACCCAAACTTTGAATTATGCGGGTTCAAACGGGAACCTACATTTTAACACTCTGAACAACTTTTTAAGCCAAAACGGAAATACTCTGCTCGCTTCTATACCGAATTCCTGGAAACCGCTTCTCATAAATAATAAATTCCAATTCCGTAAGACCCCATCTACGCCGGAAGAAGATAATGATATTAAATCTGGTTTTTATAAATAAATATTATAAAACGAAAGGTAAGAAAGAAATGAGAGCAAGGGACACCAAATATAAATACTATGTTACTAAAATAAATATTCATAATTTAAATAAGATAACGACGAGCCTTTGCTAAGCGGAACGGGGGAGATCAAGAAAGATTGCGAATTTTCTGAACTCGAAACCTGGGCCGAAATTCTAACCGAATGGAGAGCCAACGTCGACAAAAGACCTAAAAAAATTCCTCGATTGGTAAACCAAAATAAATATATAAATGTGTTTAATCTAGTTTTTTAGATTTTCTTTAAAATTGAAAAAAAAAATATTTTGAATTCATCAAATTAAAAAATTTTTTACTAGTTGTTTAGTTTAAAGATTTTTTTTAACTTTAATATTGGAAAAATGTTTTGAACCTATTAAATTAAAAAATCTGCACTAGTTTATATTCACAGGCTAACCATATCAACGATAAAACTTGTAATGAACTAAAGAACTTTGTATTTATATATTAAGTCATGTTCAGATGATTAGAAGAAATACTCTTCATAATAAATAAAAATATAACGTTTTATAAAATGAATATTTTTTTATGACTAATGAAATGTAATGTTATAAGTAATTCTCGAAATATAATGTTAGAAGTAATTCTTGAAATATAATTTTATTTTATTTCTTATCAAAATGCATTTTCTTTTATATTCAAATTCTTATAAAAAAATAATATAATGAAAATAAAGATTTTACAAAAATAACAAAATAAACAATTCAATACATTCCCCAATCTAATTGGTTTCGTTCGTATTCTTTTCGGATATCGATCTTGATTTGTTTTCTAAATTTTGCGTAATACTTCCTTCAGCTTCTTGACTTGTATTCTCCCCCTTCTTTAGGTTCATTTCATCGTTATTGTTTACTACGCCCTCTTCTCTTCGGTTCTCTCTTCATACGCTTCTATTGAAATATTTTTGTTCTTTTCCTTAATTAATCAGAATGACGTATTTTACCCTTTATACTCACTTCATATCGTATTGATCCGAGTATGCTTTTAATAATAGCTTTTCCCATACACTATTTCATTTATCTTAAATTTTTGAATGTAGTATTCTAACTTCTCCTTTTTGTTCCCCCGTTCGAATATTTGGTCTAGCAATCCTCTAGGTTTAATTTTTAGTAGTATTTTGGCAGGATTTTGTTCATCCCCTAGTATATTTCGGTAATAGTAGAGAAAAATAGCTAAACTGGTTTCTAAATCCCCTTAGTTTCTTTTATTCATGCTCTGTTTAAAGGTTTGAACTAAACGTTCGGCCATTCCGTTAGTCTGAGGATGGTATAGACTTCCATGAACTAATTGTATTCCGTTTTTTCTCAAAAATCATTGAATTCTTTACTGCTGAATTGTGACCCGTTATCAGAAACGATTATTTTAGGAAATCCGAATCAAAAATATTTCTTAATATTTTTATCGTGCTTTTGGTTGTTGTATAAGTCATGGGAACTATTTCGGTCAGTGACTGCTAGAATCTCCAACCAATAATGATTTTGAAATGGTTCAGCATATCAATATGTACTCGATGTCATGCTTTTGATGTTGGCCAGTTTTCAATTGATGTCATTTGAAGCATATCTATTTGTTCCTGGCATTCTCTACATTTTTCGACCCATGTATCTATATCTTGGTTTATATTAAGCCACCACACATATTGTTTTGCTCTCATCTTTATTTTTACCAATCCAATATGTCCTAGATATATCATGTCTAACACGTTGCTTCCGTATTGTTGTGGTATTATCATTTTAGTTCTCCACTGTAAACAACCTCTCCCTGTTGTGATTTCCTCTCTTCTTTGGCTATACTCCTTTAAATATATATCATAGTTTGTTGGCCATCCATCTATTGTATACCTGTATACTTTAAAGAGTACATCATCTTGCATTGTTTTTTCTTTCAATTTCGCTTGCATTTAAAGATGTTAGTTCTTCCACTTGTATTTGATCTAGTGCTTCTTCTTTTGATATTGTGGTTCCCTGTATAAGCAATCGAGATAGCCTGTCAATATTGGCTAGTTGTCGACTACTTTTGAATTATATTTCATATTGGTAACCTGCTAATAATAATGACCATCCTTGTATTCTGGCAGTAGATGTTGTTAATATATCTTTTCCTGGGAATAAACTCATTAATGGCTTGTGATCTGTTTATAATGTAAACTTTTTTCCATACATAAATTCTTTGAATTTTGTAACTCCAAATTTGATGGCAAGAGTTTCTCTTTCTATTTGGTTATAATTTTTCTCGGCTGCATTTAGCGTTCTTGGGGCGAATGCAATTGGTCTCTACTTACCCCATTCTATATGTGAATTACTGCCCCAATTCCTATGGACGCATCTGTTGCTAAGTGATTTCTGATCATAATTTAATGAGTACTACTTATTTATTTCTTGCTTTATTTTTTTTATAAGGTCTTTGCATTCATTTTTATATATCAAACTACTGCTTTCTAATAATTTGTGTAATGGTTTGGCTTTGTCTGCAAAATTTTCGTGTTTCTCTGTATATTTTCCGGTTATTATGATATCATCTAAATAACTAGCTGCTCCTTCAAAATTTTTAATAAATTCTCGGTGGCTCGTTGAAATATTGATGGAGAAGACAAAATACCAAAAGATGGTCTTGTATATTTAAATAATCCTCTATGTGTATTGATTACTAGATATTTTTGAGTCTCTTCCCATACTTAATTTGAAAATAGGCATCTGAGAGATCCAATATTGAAAATTCCTCTCTTTTTATGAAACTGGCTAATAAATCTTGGATTCTTGGTATTGGGTATGAATCAATAATTAATATTTTGATTTATAGTTCTTATAAAATCCCCGCAAATTCGTAATGTTTTATCTTTCTTTTGAACAATTACTATGGGTTATGTATAAAGTGAATGATTAATTTTTTCTATTACTCCTTAGCAATCTGTCTAAATCTTCTTCAACTTTTTCTTTTAATGCATATGGTACGGGACGTGATTTACAGAAAATTGGTTTCTTGTTTTTCGTATATGTATATATATTTGTGCCTTAAAATCTTTCAAACAGCCCAATTCTTTGGTAAATAATTGAGGAAATTTATTTAGTACATTAATGTTATTTATTTGTATGGCCCTTTCAGGTATTTCAGTCATTTTTGGAATTTTAATTATCCAGTTTCTTCCAATTAGATTTTTTATGTATCCTTTTATAATTAAGGTAGTTCTAATGTTCGTCCTTTATGTACCTTTACTACAGTCTGACCTTATTGGTTCCTGTATAGCTTTTAAGTTTTAGTATGCAATTTTTTAATCCAGGACGATTGAGTTTATTTTTCCAGATTTTTTTTCGTTTAGTATGCTTATCTCAACTCCAGTTTCCATTCTGATATCGCTGTTGTTTATTTTGATATCTACCCAAAATTCTAGATTATATTCAATTGTTATATTATTAATAAAATTTACAATTTTTTTCTACAATCTCGAGCAATATGCCCGATTTTGTTGCATTTATAACGTGGCATTCTTGAAAAGACAATTTTCCCTTCTATGGTTTCCGCCGTAGCAGTGACAGGGTATTCGTTTTTTGTAGATCGTATTATAATTATTATATGATTTTGTTTGTTTATCATTATCATTATTAATTTTTTTAATTATATATTTATATTATCATTATGTTCCTCTTCTAACTGGTCTATTTTAGTTTCGTCATTTTGTATCAATTTCAAATTTATAGCTGTTTCTACTGCCGTAGCTATTTGAATAGCCTTATTTATGTCTATATCATCTTCGGATAATAGTCTTTGTAAAATTTTAGGATTTTTTATTCCGAATATAAATTTATCTCTTAATGCAGTATTTAAATATTCCCAAATTCACAAGTCGTTGTAATTTTCGAAGATTTTGCATATAGTCTATTAATTCCTTATTTTTTTATTATACTGTTAAAAATTATATCTCTCTACAAATATATTAGGTTTGGGATGATAAAATTTGATTGAAATATGTATTTCTGATACATCTTTGTTTCCCGGACTATCAGGTGCACATAAATTTAACAGTATTTTGTAAATACACATCTTATTGTTGTTAATAACAGTGATTTTTCTTGTGATGATGTTAAACTTGGTTATGTGTTTTTAAATTCTTTAAATAAGTCGTATCAATCTTTGTAACACAGGTTTGAATCCGTTAGACTATTTATTGACTGCGCCATTCTCGAAATGTAATGTTAGGAGTAATTCTCGAAATATAATGTTAGAAGTAATTCTTGAAATATAATTTTATTTCATTCCTTATCAAAATGCATTTTCTTTTGTATTCAAATTCATATAATAATATAATAATGAAATAAACATTTTACAAAAAATAACAAAATAAACAATTCAATACATAAGAACTTATTAATGAAAATTTTTTTCATCCTATATTATTTGTTCAATAATTTATTTTAAATTATTACGCTCAAAAATGTTAGAAATTCTGGTTAGACAATCCAATATTGAAACCTTTGTAATATATATTTTTTTTATTAGTTAAGATTTTTTTATTTAACTCCAATAAAGGAATAATTATATTACAATATTTATGTTTTCCTTAAAAGTGTCAAAAAGGAATACCTGATGCCTTGAGAGGTGAAGTGTGGCAACTTTTAGCCAAAACACATGAGGATCAAGACAAAATGGATTCATACAAAGATTTACTAACAAAAGTTATATATATTATTTTACGAATTATTTTAAAATTAATAAAGAAAGTAAGCATACTATAAAAATATAATTATTTACATATTTATATAATTTTTTGGTAGGAAAGCGTATATGAAAAAGTAATTGCTAGTGATATAAATAGAACTTTTCCCGCCCACGAGTATTTTAAACGCCCAAATCAAACAACTACACCCATTATAACGAGAGTTAATAATATACCTCAATTTCCTGCAACCAATAAGAATAAAATTCAAGAAGAATCCGACGTTAATCTTGAAAATATCGGAAATAGATTATGTGACGGTGAAAATGAAACTACTCAAAATCGGGAGAATTTATGTTCTGCTGGAAAACGATTAAATGATTGCTTAGGTGGCGATATGAGACCTGATATAGCTGATTCCACGATGGTAGCTGATAAGGATATCAATGATACTCACCAAATTTCGCCCATTTGTGACAATGTACCCAAGGCAGAAATGAATAATAAAATTCAAAATTCCCAAATTTTGGACATATCAAACGAAAATAAGGATTCATGTGGGCAGGAATGTTTGTACAGGCTCATCAAAGCCTATTCAGTTTACGATACAGAGATAGGCTACTGTCAGGGACTATCCTTTCTGGCCGCATCACTACTTTTGCATGTATGTTTATATAAACAGTGAATTACTTTTTTTTATATATAAGCTACTTATTTTTAAATGAAGTAACTATGAACAAAATAATAAAAGCTTTGAAGTTGATTTTTCAACTTCAGGGGATTCACTTTTAGAAAATTTGCAAAAAGGTAATTCTAACTATAATTTGATAAAAAATTTCAGGGAACTCTCCAAAGTTCCCTCCACCTTAAGACGCTACTGTGATCATCTCTTATATATTTGCAACTAGGATTTGACGAGGTGAATATTTGATTCTTTTATTTTCAAAAAGTAATTTCGTTTTTGGTTCTATTTTTATATTAATAAAATAGTAATTTTATTGAAATGTGATCTACGATGGGTATAATTTAGCACTAGTAACAATTTTAATAAAAAAGACTTCACATAGGGGGGGGGGCTATTTTATTAAATAAAAACAAGCTTAAAATTATTGCTAGGGGTTGGAAACCCCAAAGGATAAAACATCGCTTGACTGTGGGATTAAAGTCTCATGATAATTCATACAAATTACAAAAAATTATGAATAATAAACTTGGTTTATCATATTCGTCGTTGATCAATCTCTCCTACAGATGCCAGAAGAACAGGCCTTTTGTTTGCTCGTCAAAATAATGTACGAATACGATTTGCGGAATCTGTTTAAACAGGGGTTTCAAGTACTTCAACTCAAATTTTACCAACTGGAACGCATTTTACAGGTTTGTTCCCTTTTTATTTGATTATTTTTTAAATGAGATAATATTTCATATTATAGATTACATATATTCATATTTCTAGTCAAGGAAATTTTACTGTTTTTAAATATTTTTATATAGATTGTTGCGATAATTTTACAACCCGACCTTTTAATTTTTGTAAAATTTTACATAATGAAAGAACATATTTAGAAGGCACCGAATTCAAAATTGTAGCCTAATACTAAGATAGCAGTGTTCAAAAATTCACAATTCGTACGATGTTAAAAAATAAAATTTAAGTATAATGTCTATAAAATTCTTTTAGTAAATATGAAAGATTTTTTATGTGAAAATAGTGTGATTTTTATCTACTATAAATTTTGAATATGAAAGTTTTATATGTTTCCCTTACCTAATATCTTTAAGCTTAATTTTTTATTATTTACTCACATTATATATCTATTTCTAAAAAATTTAAAATTGGGACAGCCATGCGTTTTTTAGTTATAATTTTTTTAAAAAATAGATGGCGTCCTCATATAAAACCAATTTTTGATAAATAATTATTATTTTGAAACATAAAGAACAAGATTTCCCTGCATTAATATCAAGAAATGTATTATTCAGTTATTGCGGATTAAAATAAAATTTTACTTTTAAATAAATTTTATAAAATTATTTTAAATATATCAGAGACCTGCAGGCCCGGCCCGTGCCGGGCCGTATTTTAAATTTTTTAAATATACCCGGGCCGGGTCTAAAAAAAATTTTTTTTAACATATCCGGGTCGGGCCTAAAAAAATTTTTTTTTAATATATCCGGGCCGGCCTAAGATTGTTAAACCCGGGCCGGGCCTTAATATTTTTTATAAAAATTTTTACATTATGAGTTAATGGTTAGATTAATATAATATTGGGTGATGGTTAACAGTACCTAACACCCACAGATCGATCTAATTATTAATTTCCTGCAAATTTATTCAAAGTATTAATATATTTTTTTATAATTCATATCTAAATTTTTACAACATATTTTACCAAAACAATTAAATAAAGGAATATCTTAAATAAGCCCCAATATTCAAGTATTATTAATATATTTTTTTATAATTCATATCTAAATTTTTAGAATATATTTTACCAAAACAATCAAATAAAGGATTATCACTTCTTAAAGTTTGTAATTGATTTTACTTAATATAAAGCATTTTTTAATTGGGCGGCTCATCAAAGCGAATTTCTAATTTTAGCAAAATTGGCAAAACAGGTATTGGCAATTCCTGCTTCAAGTGCAAGCTGTGAGCGGAATTTTTCCACTACTGGGAGAATTCTTGAAGAAAGAAGAAGTAATCTTCAACCTGAAAAGGTAGATATGCTTCTCTTTCTTCATGATAATTTGTGAATTTTTAATATTTTTCTTGAGTATAGGGTTTCGTCAATCATGCTGGTTTTTTACTTTGCAAACTGTCAAATATTTATTGCATTTATTATATTTACCTTGAGTCATGAAAGTTTTTAATCTAACATTTTTCATTATTTTTTTTACAATATTATATAATACAATTATCTTCTTTTGTTAAAAATTTTTATTATAAAATAAATTATATTGCAATTAGATTATATTTTCAAAATACTATTTATTATACATGCATTTTTTTAAATAGCGATTTATTTTATAAATTAAATAGTAAATTAAATACAATATATTATATTCTCAAAATATTTTCTATTTTTATAAATTAAATATTAGTTTTATTTTTTTTAAATGCAATATAAAATATAGTATATGCTCAAAATATTATTACCATTTTTATGAATATTAGTTTTATTTTTATAAATGCAATATAAAATATAGTATATGCTCAAAATATCCATTTTTATAAATAACAGTTTTATAATTTTTATAAATTCAATATAATATTCTCAAAATATTAGCTTTTTACATGTATTTTTTAAATAATAAGCGATAATACTCGCTGAAAAATATGGTAAAATACCTCATAGGTGAATTTTTATATATATACCAGGTTGAATATAATTTTAAAAAATTCCGAGCCGGGCCTGAAATTTTTTTTTAAAAATATCCAGGCCGGGCCTTATATTTTTAAACCCGGGCCGGGCCGTAAAAATTTTTTTTAAAAAATATCCGGGCCGAGCCTCAAATTTTTAAAGCCGGGCCGTAAAAAATTTTTTTAAAAAATATCCGGGCCGGGCCTAAAAAATTTAAAACCGGGCCGGGCCGTGCAAATGGTACCTCTGCAGGTCTCTGAAATATATAATAGGTAAATAAAAATTATCAAAAATATTTTCTATTTTCATTTTTAATTAAATTAAGTTTTTTATATGCCTTCATAATTATATCATTGATAAATATTGATACGTTCAGTCCCAGTTGATGGGCTTATTATTTGTTAAGATATATTTTGGTAGGCATTTGTCAAAAATATTGTAGTCCGTATTATTGTTTGGAAATTAGCTATCCATCCAGTAAAATGCAAATTGTACTTTAAAAAGGTTCAAGAATTATTTTATAGCCAAATAAATACCTCAATATTTTAAGTATTAAGCTAATTTAGTAAGATTTTGAACATTCAAATTTTCTATTGTGGAAGGATATTTTATTACTATAGAATTTATATCAATTATTCAGTATAAAGTTATTTTAATTAAAGTCATTGATAATAATCTTTTAAATTATAATTAGACATTATTGATATCTTTTCTAAAAATATATTTATTACTTCTTATCGGAGATATGGTTTTAAAATATTAATTAAAATAAGATAGCGCATACGCAACATTCGGATGTTTATAATTTTCTAAAAATACTACTTTTAAATTACAATCATAATGATATATTTGGTTTATATTATGTTACATTTTTATCAATAAAACCATTAATTAAATAAAGATATTATATGGAAGTAAATTATTTTATTAAATATTACGACTACTACAAAAAAGATGCAAAATTATATAGTATTTTATCATTTTTTGCTTATATTACCACGAAATTAAAACAACTTAAATTTATACTATGGGTTTTTATTTTATAATTTTGTAATCAATGTTTAAAATATACTTTGGAAAATATTTTATTAATAAATTGAATGTATAATCTAACACTTGTCAAACAACAGAATACGGTTAGCTGAGAGGGTTAAATGCCTTGCCTTTATTTATGCTAGCGTTAATGTGTCCGGATGTGTTATTTTTCAACTTTAAATTATTTTTTGAGCGCATTTTTTTTACATTTAAAAATTTGATTTTACTGAAATGTATTCTATCATGTTGGGAATACCAACCCTATAAATTTCAGACAATTTCGCTATGAACTTAACTTATTATAATTTATATTCATTTTCCCATAGATTTATAAAATATAAATTACTTAAAAATTAACAGCGAAATTTGTTGACATTAAAGGGATGGATTTGAGCTTGAACGGGTAATGAAGGAAGATTTTTGAGACCTCGAAGAAATCGCCAATGACTCGAGGAGAGCCATCAGATTTCGGAATGACAGAGCAGCGAGCCAATTTGATAGTTGTCCCCTGCCTCGATCACACCAACGGCCAGGAGTTGCTAGAAGATCGGTAGATAACTGGCATTAGGTTCACGGGCATGTACATGGCGGAATTTGGATACGTACGTGATCGAGCCTAATTCTGAACCCCCGATTGGCGACCGCCTTGGTGAAGGGTGACATCAGGGGACCCACCGTGAGCTTGGCCTCAGCGATGTTCAGATAGACCTGTGCGCCGATGTCTCAATCAACGGCGGCGGTTTTTTTTAATTTTTTTATGGGCGTTCGGCGGCGGTGGCGCAATATTTATTTTAAAAATTTTTTTAATGAATTTAATTTATAAATTTATGTATTACATTTTTTATAATTTATTTAGGCGATCTTTTCTAACACATTGTTAACATAGTTTAATTGATTTTAAATTATTTCCTGTCTCACTCCAATTTAAATTTATGTATTTTCTCATTCTCAGAAATAGACTAAGGAATTGTATTTTTACTCAGATCAGAGTCACATCAACAACACATATAGAAATATTCTATTGATTTTTATTATAATTAAAATAAATTTGGAATGCAAGCAAAATATAAAGTATGAAATATAATAAATCAGAATTCAGATTTAGCAAATTATAATTTTCATGAATAAACAGTATTTTATCAAGATTTGTGGGACATAAAGAAGTCCTTTTAGCATTGATAATTAATCCAATAATGGAAAAAATTCTTTCACTGGGTGTACTGGTTGCATGTATACAAAGAACCTTCCTAGCTAAATTAGCAAGCATAGGAAGTTCCAGTCGCTTTTTCTTCCAAAAAAATAATGCATTTTCTTCTAGGATATTATTTTGGCTGAGAAAAATATGGCATTCTTGTTCAAGATTACTAATATTGTTATAATCGTTAATAGGAAGGGAATGTTTACGAGCTAATTTAGCTATATAAGAGCTTGATGTTTGACCATTATCCTCAACTTGAATTTCACTCTGTGCATTTCTATCATGCTCTAAAAGTTTTAAATGTCGAATTAAAAATTGCAATGATGTAATAGAATTCGAATTTAAATATTCTGAAACAACTTTGAGATTTTGAAATCTGGGATCAAGTAGAGTTGCTAATATCTAATGTTTAAAATATAATTTTATTAATAAAAATACAAAATAACTTGAAGCTCAGTAATGGGAAACTATGGTCAAGCTTTTTCCATATTTTCTTTTAAGCATATAATATCTGAGCAATCAGATCTATTGATTTGTATATGAGCTTCTATTTCACTGAGAAATAATAACCCTAAGTTTATTTTAGATCTCTTTTGGGAGGAAAGAAATTCCTCCGACTCTCGGAATGGATTTAATACTGCGTAAAGCTCATCAATCATATCCCATTCATTATTAAAGAGTTTCAAAGATTGTTTTCCTATTTTATTTAGAACTTTATTTACAGGAATTTTGTTTACACTGCGAACACTTTCTAGCATAATTAATATGCTATGCCAGCG